ACACAACTCTGCAAAGCCTGAGCAGAGCTGTTGAAGAAAGGAGGATTTTGATTAAAAGATCACCATAAATTAAGGTCAACTTGACAGCAGTCAATAACAGCAAGCCATTCAGAACGACTGCCCTGTTTGACACAAGTCTGCCCACGCAACGCAGGTGAATACAGCACTGAATGAAAGATGCAGAATAATCACAGGATGTCTCAAACCTACACCTGTTGATAGACTCTATAAGTTAGCTGACATCCCCCCCCCCCCCCCCCCCCAGGGATGTGTGATGGGAAGTTACAGCTCACTGTGAGAGAAATAAGGTATCAGCCTCCTACCAGGAAACTCAAATCAAGGAAAAGCTTCATGAGAACCACCACTCCTCTTAATGTTCCCCAAGCAACAGCAAGGTTATTCCTTTTGGTAACTAAACCAGGAAACCTCAACTGGATGACCCCCACAAGGGTCTTCCTCCAGGGGCCAAACAAGAATGGGCAACTTGGAAGTCCATGAACAAATTCAGAAGTGGAGTGGGCAGATTAAAAAATAAGCTGGCAAAATGGCTCTACCTAGAAGAATCCTCCACCTTGTGTGGCTGTGGAGCAGAACAAACAACTCCACATCTGTATGCTTGCCCACAATGCCCTGCCTCATGCACAGAGAAAGAATTTATTAAAGCTACAGGCAATGCAGTCGCTGTTGCCCATTTTTGGTCTAAAATTATTTAACTGCTTATGCTCCCTCTATTTTATCAGTTTATACTTATTTATGCAATGCTTTTGACACAAAATAAATAAATGAACTGCTACATACACCAGATTTAGGGTATCAAGAAAAGACACAAAATGGGTATTTAATTGAGTCCAGTTGTATTTTAATGTGGGATTTGGGATATTTTCTGTAAATTTCTAATTTGTAAGTCAAAATACCTGGGCTGGCTTTAGTACGATGTAGTTTGACTGGTACCATTTGTTGCTCTGTCTTAGGCAGCAAACTGTACTTATTCCACCCATCCAGTTCTGCAGAAGGGACAGGGATCCTAGTTGTTCAATAGGCTCAAGTAAAAACTAATGAAGAAAACAATGCCTGTCCTCTACTACTTTTCTAAAGGAAGATGAGCAAAGCATGATGCTCCAGATGTTGTTCTTCAATTCTTTATACCATTGGCTATGTGGATAAAGGTGGCTCAGAGCTGCAGTTCAAGAACACCACATGTCATCTCCACTATGACAAGGTGCACTGTGTTTCTATTTTTAAAATTATATGAATTGTGTTTGAATTTGAATCTAACTATTTATATTCGCCCACACACATTCTTCATTTAAATTTGTCTTCTATCTTGTTTGTTGGTGCATTTTTTCTCTTTTGACAGCGCATAAATAGCCACTTACATAGTTCTTCCCACTTTCATAAGTTGTTTCAGTCTTTCGCACATAAAATGCTATCTCACCTTTTGCACAAGGCTCTCTCACCCCCATATTCCATTTCTGATTATAATTCTACTGTTTGTTTGTCTAACTTTTTGAATTTCTCAGTAACTAATGCTAACCTCTACTGCCATCTACTGGGCTCTGGTCTTGCTATATTTATTTTTTGTTTCTGGCAATATCCAACATCTTGCCATCCCCTAGCTGAGACTTGGAAGGCGCTGAACAGACTGCGCTCTGGCACCACAAGATGCAGAGCCAACCTTCAGAAATGGGGCTACAAAGTGGAATCCTTGACATGCGAATGTGGAGAGGAGCAAACCACTGACCACCTGCTGCAATGCAACCTGAGCCCTGCCACATGCACAATGGAGGACCTTCTTGCAGCAACACCAGAAGCACTCCAAGTGGCCAGATACTGGTCAAAGGACATTTAATCAACTACCAAACTCACACATTTTGTATTTTGTCTGTTTGTTTGTTTGTTTGTTTGTTCTGTTAGAAATGTAATATAATTGACTGGTTGCCCTGACATGAAAATTAAATAAATAAATAAAACTGAGACTAAGGCCGGATCCAGACAAGCCTTTATCCCAGGAGAATCCACGTTTTAAAAACGTGGATTTTCCTGAGGGTCTGTCCACACCCACCCCAGAAAGTGTGCACTTTCTGGGGTGGGTGTCCAGACGTTCTCTTGGGACTAGACGTTACAAGCCTGGCCTGGCTCTCCAGGAGAGCGGGGGGGGGGGGGGGGGGGGGGGGGGGGGGGGAATTATTTTCCTCCCTCCCCCCACACTCCTGGTGCATCATTTCTACCTGCCAGGAGAGCCCGCCAAGTCTTGTAATTGAGGCTTAATAAGTTTTTATTACTTTTCTAAGGGGTCTGGGGGTAGGTGTTCCCAAGTTTATTGGCTTATTTAGCACAGTAAACTGTGTGAACACTGTCTGGATTGCAGTATTCTGCAGTCCAGACACAGGAAAAAATGGATTTATCCCACACCTTCCAAGAAGGCGTGGAATAAATCCACCATCAAATTACTTCGCTACAAACCAGGGAAGGTTTGTAATAAAGGTCCTGTCTGGACAGGCCCTAAGGCCCTTTCCACACAGCTGAATAAAACCCACATTGAACTGGATTATATAGTAATGTGCACTCAGATAACCCAGGGCCCTTCCACACAGCCCTATATCCCAGAATTTCAAGGCAGAAACCTCACAATATCTGCTTTGAACTGGGTTATCTGAGTCCACGCTCAGAAAATGTGGGATTATCTGCCTTGATTTTCTGGGATATAGAGCTGTGAGGAAGGGCCCTGGATCTACACTGCCATATAATCCAGATTCAGAATGCAGATTAGCTGCTTTAAAATGGGTTCTATGAGTCTACACTGCTCTGGTTAGTACCTGATAGGAGACCGTTAGGGGATACTGGGGGCCCTTCCACACAAACTCAGATAATGTGGGATTTTCTGCCTTGATATTCTGAGATATAGGGCTCTGCAGAAGGGCCCTGGGTTATCTGAGTCTACACTGACATATATCCCAAATCAAAGGAGACAATGTGGGATTTTATCCAGCTGTGTGGAAAGAGCTTGAGAAAGCTAAAGCTCTTGTACTGAGTTTCCAAGAAAGCTAAAGACCTTGTAAAACTACAACTCTCATGATTCCCATAGAAGTCAAAGTGGTGTACAACTGCATTAATGCAATAGTCTGTAGATCAGGAATGGGCCAACTTGGGCCCTCCAGGTGTTTTGGACTTCAACTCCCACAATTCCTAACAGCCTACTGGCTGTTAGGAATTGTGAGAGTTGCAGTCCAAAACACCTGGAAGGCTGAAGTTTGAAACAGACTGTTTTGGAGTTGCAGTCCAAAACACCTGGAGGGCTGAAGTTTGCAACAGGCTGTAGAATTGGGGGAGTTGCAGTTCAAAATACCTGGGAGGCTGCAACAGACTGTTTTGGAGTTGCAGTCCAAAACACCTGGAAGGCTGAAGCTTGCAACAGACTGTAGAATTGTGGGAGTTGCAGTACAAAACACCTGGAAGGCTGAAGTTTGCAACAGACTAGAATTGTGGGAGTTGCAGTACAAAACACCTGGAAGGCTGAAGTTTGCAACAGACTAGAATTGAGGGAGTTGCAGTACAAAACACCTGGAAGGCTGAAGTTTGCAATAGACTGTAGAATTATGAGAGTTGCGGTCTAAAACACCTGGAAGGCTGAAGTTTGCAACAGGCTGTAGAATTGTGGGAGTTGCAGTCCAAAACACCTGGAAGGCTGAAGTTAGCAACAGATTGTAGGATTGTGGGAGTTGCAGTCCAAAACACCTGGAAGGCTGAAGTTTGCAACAGATTATAGAATTGTGGGAGTTGCAGTCCAAAACACCTGGAAGGCTGAAGTTTGCAACAGATTGTAGAATTGTGGGAGTTGCAGTCCAAAACACCTGGAAGGCTGAAGTTTGCAACAGATTGTAGAATTGTGGGAGTTGCAGTCCAAAACACCTGGAAGGCTGAAGTTTGCAACAGATTGTAGAATTGTGGGAGTTGCAGTCCAAAACACCTGGAAGGCTGAAGTTAGCAACAGATTGTAGGATTGTGGGAGTTGCAGTCCAAAACACCTGGAAGGCTGAAGTTTGCAACAGATTGTAGAATTGTGGGAGTTGCAGTCCAAAACACCTGGAAGGCTGAAGTTTGCAACAGATTGTAGAATTGTGGGAGTTGCAGTCCAAAACACCTGGAAGGCTGAAGTTTGCAACAGACTGTAGGATTGTGGGAGTTGCAGTCATAGAATCATAGAATCATAGAGTTGGAAGAGACCTCATGGGCCATCCAGTCCAACCCCCTGCCAAGAAGCGGGAATATTGCATTCAAATCACCCCTGACAGATGGCCATCCAGCCTCTGTTTAAAAGCTTCCAAAGAAGGAGCCTTTACCATACACCGGGGCAGAGAGTTCCACTGCTGAACGGCTCTCACAGTCAAGAAGTTCTTTCTCATGTTCAGATGGAATCTCCTCTCTTGTAGTTTGAAGCCATTGTTCCATTGCGTCCTAGTCTCCAGGGAAGCAGAAAACAAGCTTGCTCCCTCCTCCCTGTGGCTTCCTCTCACATATTTATACATGGCTATCATATCTCCATTCAGCCTTCTCTTCTTCAGGCTAAACATGCCCAGCTCCTTAAGCCGCTCCTCATAGGGCTTGTTCTCCAGACCTTTTATCATTTTAGTCCAAAACACCTGGAAGGCTGAAGTTTGCAACAGAATGTAGTAGATTTTTGAGGCAGAAAGGAAAGCAGGGAAGTTTCCTAGGTAAGAAGCAGCTGCCATAAATCTTTCCCATTTTGACATTTGCAATTAGAGATAAAAGAAACAAAGAAAAGGTTAAAACTGACTTCTATTTCAATTTGGTCAGGAAAAAAAAGAAATAAACCCTCCCGCCCGCTTGACTCTGCTGCGGCCGGGCTCTTTCAGTTTGCATTCTCATCCTCCCTCCCTCCCTCCTTTGCCCGGGCAGAAGCCGTCTCGACCAATCAGCGCTCCTTAGCAACGGGATCAGGTTTACCGTAGCAACGCTTCTGCAACTGCTGGAGGCAGGCAGGCAGGAAGGAAGAAGGCCTAAAAGGGAAGGAAACAATATAACCCATATTTCCTGATGGCAGAACCCCCTGGAGACCCCCAACCTCCTGAAAGTGAGGAAACCCCAGAGCAGGCCAGCCTGGCACCCCCAAGCCAAGGCAGCCAGATTTTAAGGCAGAGCAGTCAGGGCATTTTGAGGCAAGGCAGCCAAAGCATTGTAAGGCATCCCAGTATCCAAGATCCAGGAGCGGCGGCTCCTCCGTCGGTGGACCAAGATGAATCTGAAGGAGGCCCAGCGCCAGAGCAGCAGCCCCACAGGGGCAGCCTCTACCAGCCTGACCAGCCCCGGCTGAGCATCTACGAACAGCAAGAAGGAAGAGGGGCCTTGTATCAGCCTCAGCAGGCCCGTGGACCTCTTTTCCAGCCAAGGGCCGGCACCATGGAGCCAAGGGGCAGCGTGACATTTCAAGAGCCCTTGGGCAGAGGAAGCTTTGTGCAAGACCCTGCAGGAGGCATGTCCCAGCCGGCTGAGCAGTTGCCCCCAACAGGGCCAAGAAGCAGTTTCCACCTCCCGCCGGCGGCAGTGAGAGGAAGCCAGGTCCTGCAGTCCGAAGCCGGGGGTCACGGCCCCTATCAAACCCACGAGCCTGGACTCGGCCTGTACCAGATGGGAGTCAACTTGTATGAGGATCAGATCCCCGACCCGGGGCCCAGGGCGCTTGCGATCAAAAACGCGAAAGCCTACCTGTTGAAGACGAGTGTCAAAACGGGTGTGAGCTTGTGAGTAAGGGTATGGAGTGGTGAGACAGAGAGAGACCCCATCTACACCGATAAATGAATGCAGTTCGGAACTAGCTTCAAACTCCAATGGTGAGACAACAGACTCCCATCAAAGCACATGAAAGAAAGCACTTCATGTACATCAGTGCTCTGCGGTTTGTGTAATCACCTTCCGGGCTTCAAACTGATTCCAGGATTTTCTACTGCAGCTGCACATTTATTTATTTATTTTGTCGTGTCAGGAGCGACCTGAGAAACTGCAAGTCGCTTGTGGTGTGAGAGAATTAGCCGTCTGTAAGGACGTTGCCCAGGGGACGCCCGGATGACTTGATGTTTTATCATCCTTGTGGGAGGCTTCTCTCATGTCCCCGCATGAGGAACTGGAGCTGATAGAGGGAGCTCATCCGCCTCTCCCCGGATTCGAACCTGCGACCTGTCGGTCTTCAGTCCTGCTGGCACAGGGGTTTAACCCACTGTGCCACCGGGGGCTCCAGCTGCACATTGGAACCACTTTCTTCAGTACCAATTTAAAATTGCATTAAATGGATTGCTGAGTTTTCTGGGCAGTATGGCCATGTTCCAGAAGCATTCTCTCCTGATGTTTCACCCACATCTATGATAGGCATCCTCAGAACCTCAGAAAACTCACAGCAACCCAGTGATTCCAGTCATGAAAGCCTTCGACAACACATTGCATTAAATGGTTAGTGTAGATGGGGCCAAAGAGTGAAGTCATATGCAAGTTGTAGTGGATCTAATGTGGTTTTCTTTAAAATGCAATACAGTAGGCCCTGAGGTCCCACCTACACTGACCATTTAATGCAGTTTCAAATCGGCATCAAGGAAAATGGTTTTTGTTGTGCAGACAATTACATAGAAATTCCTGGAACCAGTTTGAACCACAGAGCACTGGTGCACATTAAGGGCTACCTTTCACATGCTTTTCTGGGAGTTTGTTGTCTCGCCCCTGCAGTTTGAAGCTAGCCCTGAACTGCATTAAATGTTGAGTGTAGATGGGGCCTCAATTAACCAGAACCCATGGGGATTGATAGATGATGGATAAACTCAGTTTCTGGTTGCTTGAAACTATTTAAAATAGGCCTAATAAGTATCCTTCATACTCTACTATACTATAAATTCTGGATTTACTTGAGAAAAAAAAATATTAATATTGATATACAGTAATTAAGAGCAAATTGACAAGCAGAGACAAAATGTAGCACAGTTTTACTCTATTATAAAAATAGCTTTGTGAATGCAGTGTGCAATTTTAGTTAAATGGCACTCAGTGAACTTTTTAATTTAAGGAACTTCACTAACAAAATCATGGGCTTACTCGCAATATACCACACCACATTTAAACTTACATTTCTGCAAGAAATATTGTGTATAAATTTTAATAAATCACTAGGTTCTTGTGGGTTTTTTCGGGCTATAGAGCCATGTTCTAGAGGCATTTCTCCTGACGTTTCGCCTGCATCTATGGCAAGCATCCTCAGAGGTTGAGAAGGTCTGTTGGAAGTAGGAAAAATGGGCGTATATATCTGTGGAATGGCTGGGGTGGGGCAAGGAGCTCTTCCCTGCTGCAGTTAGGTGTGAATGTTTAGCTGATCACCTTCATTAGCATTTGAAGGCCTGCCTGAGTCTGGGAAAATCTGTTGCTGGGAGGTGTTAATCTGTGCCTGGTTTTTTCCCCTCTGTTGTTTAGCTGTTATAATTTTTGAGTTTTTTAATACTGGTAGCCAGATTTTGTTCATTTTCATTTTCATGGTCTCTTCCTTTCTGTTGAAATTCTGTTGAAATTGTCCACATGCTTGTGGATTTCAATGGCTTCTCTGTGTAGTCTGACATGGTGGTTGTTGGTGTGGTCCAGCATTTCTGTGTTCTCAAATAATATGCTGTGTCCAGGCTGGTTCATCAAGTGCTCTGCTATGGCTGACTTCTCTGGTTGAAGTAGTCTGCAGTGCCTTTCATGTTCCTTGATGCGTGTCTGGGCGCTGCGTTTGGTGGTCCCTATGTAGACTTAATAAATCATTTAATAAATCATTTTTATTATTTTAATAATTTTGATCAATTTTTTGCAGGATGCTTGAGTTTCCCATTGTTTGAGTTCCAGTTAACGGAGAACCTATTTTATACAAATCCTTCATAGACACACCTTTTCTTTCAAATTATAAGGAGTGACATTTTATTCACATTTAGACGTGTGCAACTGACCTGGCAGAAAAACTCTCTCCTTTCCCACAGATGCTCCGCCGTAGAAATTTGGGGGACCCTGCTAAATGGAGGGACTGTGGTTTATAGAAAAAGAAGAATCTCTACTCATTTATCTGCACCCAGATTGAAGGAACCAAAATAGACTGATGTGTGGAGGAAGGGACTGGAAAGTCCGCTTCCACTGAGGCAGTTGAGTTGCAGCTATGTCTAGATTCAACCCCTTGAGTTTCAAACATGAAATCATGATTTCCTCCAATACTAGTACTTCTAAGGGTATAACATGTACACCTTCCACAAATGCTAAATCATTATTTCCATGACCCGATGATTTGATTGTAGGAAAGTGGTTATTTTGAGATTGTATCGTAGCAACCAATAACGTATCTTATTTGCTTTCCCTTAATTTTATAGGTATGACCACCTTGCTGAAATGTTGGCCAAGATTCTTGATGAGCGGCCTGAAAACCCAGCTGATATAATTGAGAACATCAGCAAGGATGTGAAATGCGCTCGGTTTCAGAAGAAACTAGATACTCTACGAGATGAATATGAGAAAAGTCCAACCTATGACCTGGCTGAAATGTATAAGACACTCTTCCAGAAGGGTGGAGGAGGAGATGGAACTGAGCAAGAATTAGAAGAGGAACTGGTAAGTCACTTGTTGCCCACCCCCTTTAGTCCTGTTTTGTTTCACTTTCCCTTCATTGCTTCTTACCATAGTGAGACATATTTACAGGCACAAACAATGCCTGAATCTGGTACATCTTGTCCTTAAAGCAGTGTTGCTGGAGAAATACAAAAGCACATCAGAGGAAAGAGCTTAAACTATGTTGTCAAAAAATAAAATGTGTGCACTTCAGCTATAAAGTTGACCATATATTATTTTTCAGATCCATTTGGTTTAGTAAACTAAAATAAATTAAACAGTACTATCCTGTCCAAGCTTGGGCATAAATCACATTTGCTAGCTCTACTGGTGTGTGTTACACTTATGCTCAGGCTACACATGACAAATAGAAGTAACAGATATTTATAAGGGGGGAAATCATACTTTGTTTTATTTCTACCCTGCCTTTCTTCCCATGGGGACTCAAGGTGGCTTACACTTACATGACACAACCCAATAAGTTTTAAAAGACATGTACAAAAATTAAAAACAATTTTAAAAACAATTAAATATTGTATCATGGATATAAGTTAAAATACTGTTAAGCTAGAATAAAAATATTTGTATAATTATAGTGACATTTTAAAGAGTTTTCTCCCCAACTTCCCTCACAATCTCCCCAGCAGTGTGCCCCTCATCCTGCCCCAAATGCCTGCTGGCACAGGAATGTCTTAACTGGGTTGTTGTGAGTTTTCTGGGATGTATGGTCATGTTCCAGAAGCATTCTTTCCTGATGTTTCGCCCACATCTATGGCAGCCATCCTCAGAGTTTGTGAGGTTTGTTGGAAAGGTTTGTGGGGTTTATATATGTGTGGAATGCCCAGGGTGGGAGAAAGAACTTTTGTCTGTTTGAGGTAAGTGTGAATGTTGCAATTGATTATCTTGATTAGCATTGAATAGCCTTGTAGCTTCAAGGCTTGGCTGCTTCCTGCCCGGGGGAATCCTTTGTTGGGAGGTGGCTAGCTAAGTCTGATTGTTTCTTGTCTGGAATTTCTCTGTTTTAATACTGGTAGCCAGATTTTGTTCATTTTCATGGTTTCCTCCTTTCTGTTGAAATTGTCCACATGTTAGTTGATTTCAGTAGCTTCTCTGTGTAGTCTGACGGTGGTTTTTAGAGTGGTCCTCTGAAAGCAAGAGGGATAGGGCCACCCTAATCTCTCTTGGGAGTTCCAAAGTCTGGGAGCAGCCACCAAAAAGGCCCTCTCCCTTGTTTCCACCAAATGCACTTGAGCAGGTGGCAGTACAGAGAGAATGCCCTCCCCTGCTTATCATAGATTTCTAACAGGTTTATAGAGTGTGATGTGATCCTTCAAATAACCTGGGCCTAAGCCATACTTAACTGATTCAAACTTTCCCCCCTCAGCCAGAAACTCCTCTACCCAACGTAATGGAAACAGCCTTCTATTTTGAACAAGCTGGAGTTGGTTTGAGCTTGGAAGAATATTACCACATATTCCTTGCCCTCAAACAACTGGTCGCGACACATCCAATCCAAACCTGTCGCTTCTGGGGGAAAATCTTAGGTATCGAAGCAAACTATATTGTTGCAGAGGTGGAGTTTCGTGAGGGAGAAGAGGAAGAGGAAGCCGAGGAGGAAGAATTACTTGAAGAGGGACTCAAGGAGGGGAGTGAATTTAGAGAAGATGAAGAAGATGAAGATGAGGAGAAAGACGAGCCGCCAAAGCCCAATTACAAGCCGCCTCCAGTAATACCCAAAGAAGAGAAAGGGACAGGGGCCAACAAATTCACCTATTTTGTTTGCAATGAAGCAGGCAAACCTTGGGTAAAGTTGCCCCAAGTGACCCCTGCACAGATAGTGAATGCTAGGAAGATCAAGAAGTTTTTCACTGGAAAGCTAGATGCCCCTGTGGTGAGCTACCCACCTTTCCCAGGGAATGAAACCAACTACCTCAGGGCACAGATTGCCCGCATCTCAGCAGCAACTCAGATCAGTCCACTAGGATTTTATCAGTTTGGAGAAGAAGAGGGAGATGAAGAGGAGGAAGGAGGAGGAAGAGACAACTATGAAGAAAATCCCGACTTTGAACCCATGTCTGTGTTCGAGATGGTTGATTCTCTTGCCAACTGGGTGCATCATGTACTTAATATTCTAATGCAGGTATGGTTAGTAAAATGTAGGACACACACTTGCAGTGCTGTAATGCTAAGAATATCTTAGGTTTGGGGGGGGGAGGGGGAGTTTCATGTAAACACTTAGCTCATGGAACACAAACAAATCAGTATGTGACCACATCAGCAATGTAAACATGAGTATAAAAATTAAAGACAGTTTGTAAATGAACATTTACATTGACTAACCCCCATTCCTTCCAATAAAATTTCCTCACAATAAAGAATATGTAAGGAATAAATGGTGAATCCTAGTTGGTGGTGTAAGGTAAAAGAATGTTATATATGCAATTCTGAATTATGTAAGCATGGCAATTTTTAAAAACCTCCACTTCCCCTTCGAACCTGCTGTCCTTCCCTGAGAAAGCCAGCAAGGCTTTGGTAGTGGTAGAATGTCCACCATTAAAATCTCTTATATGCAGTTTAGGCATGATTCCTCCTCCTTTCTTTCATTTTTCTGTAAGATCTCCATTAATTATGACTTCATAGGAATATTGCAAATATTGAAGAACTGAGTTTCCATCAATCTTGCTTTGTAACTCTTGGTCCTTTGGATTTCTAGGGGCGGTGTACTTGGGTTAATCCCTTTCTAAAATCAGAAGAAGAGGAAGAAGAGGATGAGGAAGAAGAGAAACCAGAGGAACAAGAAGAGACACAAGAAATAGGACCCCCACTCCTCACACCATTGTCTGAAGATGCAGGTACTAGCACAGGAGCCATATAGAAGTGGTCTAGGTTTGGGCTGTTGAGGAAAACAGGTGGTGGTCCCTACTGTAGAATTAATGCAGCTTGACACGACGTTGTCCACCGTGGCTCAGTGCTATAGAATTCCAGGATATATAGACTGGTAAGTAACTAGCACTCTAGCAGAGTGGCAGTTAAAGTTGTGTCAAACTGCATTAATTCTACTGTGTAGATCAGGGGTGTCAATCTCATTCTCATCAAGGGCCAAGTCAGCCTTATGGTTGTCAGAAATATTAAAAATTAAGTAGGTATTTTTAATTACAAAAATGTGAGTCAAGCACTGAAAGGGTTAAATTGATGCAATGACTTAGCAAAAACTGCAGTTAAGTATAAGTAGGTGTGCCTATAGGTTAGTATGCCTCAGTGTTAGTTGCCCTCAGTATGAAAAGGCTTCAGTCTGAGAGAGGCCTCAGTGTGAGCTAGGTCTCAGAGTGAGTGGCCTCAGTATTAAGAGACCTGGTGTGAGAAGCCAGGTTGAAGACCTTGTGTGTAAAGCTCCAGTGTGAAGGCTGCTGTGTGTAAAAGTCTACTGTGTGAAGCTCCTGTGTAAGTTTAGAGTGAAAAGAGGCTGTGTGAGAAAGAAGCCCAGCTTGGAAGCAAAGAAGGAAGCGTAAAGAACTTTAGTTTTATGGAAATCTTGTTCTTGTAAATAGTGCAACCATATTATTTTGCTATTTTAAAAAGCCTAAGAAAGAGATGTGTTTTTTTGTTATTTTTATCACTTTGGGCTACTGGTGCTGGGTCATGCTGCTGCTAATAAATTAGTCTGCTATCCATTTATGAGGAGGGTCTTTTGTTAATAAGCCCACTTGCCCAACAAGGGTTGCCATCAAAAGGGGCTTTAATCCATGAATAGAGAATCCATGGATGTAGAGGCCCAGTTATATTTTTTTCACATAGTGGTTGGTATTCTTTAGTTTGTGACTTCAAGTCATTTCCAGGGATTCAAATGCTAGTGTTCATAGTTGTAATCCAGTTCTCAAAGTGTTCCTCCACACTGACTTTCTACAAGCCTTTTAGGTATAGACCTAGAAAACACAACTCAAATACATTTGTTCTTTCATCTACAAGAGCAACTGTAGGGAGAGTTGATTTCAATGCCATTAATCCTTTACTCAAGAGCCAGTGAGATGTAGTAGTTTGAACATAGCACTACAACTTTGGAGACCAGAGTCTATATTCTCACTCAACCATGGAAACCCATTGGGTGACCTTGGGCAAGTCACAATCTCTCAGCTTCAGAAGCAGGCAAAAGAGAGTCAAGAAAACCTCATGACTATCATCATAAATCAGAACTGACTTGAAGACACACTACTACAACTTCTTTACTCAGCGATAGCTAAAATATGTATCACTCAGTTCTGCTGAATGAAAACAATTCAACAATAATTAAGGCAGATGCATTTAAATTTATTTTTCAGCATAATGACTGATTTATTGAAAAATTGTTAATCACTTCATAGAAGTGGGCAAATATTTCCTTTTGGTTTATTTATTTCAATGCAAATATGTATTTCTGTGTTTTTGTTTTTCTGTAATATTAGTTTACAATTGACTTTGGTACAATAACAGAGCTTAACCACAGAGTTTGTTTCTAAAACAGACATTCAGAACATCCCTCCATGGGCAGCAGAGTTGTCAACAAACTTAATTCCTCAATATGCCCTGGCAGTTCTTCATGCCAATTTGTGGCCCGGAGCAACCTCCTTTGCTGTCGGAAGGTAAGTTAATGTCTGTGTTTCTTTCCCTTTGCTTTTGGCAAAAGGTTGTCCAATAGCAAAAGCAGTTTTGCATCAGCTAGTAAGTTATGTGATACTTAGAAATGATGCAGCTAAACCCAGGATGGACTGCACATGTATATTTGGCCATTTGCCCAGTGAAAATATCATTATGTGCTAGTTCAGTGCACCTGAAATTATTCTAATTGCTTCTTGATTGATGTTGATGTGGCATTGCTAATAAATTGCTTCATGGTTAATCTTTAATTAGCCAGTTTCTACAAATTTGGAAGGATCTAAATACTAACCTTGCGTTATTATTTTGCTTTTATTGCAAAAAAAATTATTATTATTTTAAAAAGCAGCAGACATTCAGAACTGCCACTCTGGAATTCCTTTGTATAGAGAAAAAGTGGGGTATTATTATTATTATTATTACTATTATTATTATTAATAATAATAATAATAATAATAATAATAATAATAATAATAATAATTGAACTGCAAAGACTCTGGGACAGGCCAGTAAAGGTGGTCCCAGTGATGATCAGCATGCTGGGCACAGTGCCTAAAGACCTTGGCTTGCACTTAAACACAATCGGCGCTGACTACCATCTGTCAGCTGCAAAAGGCCACCCTGCTCGGATCTGCATGCATTATTTACAGGTACATCACATAGTCCTAGACACTTGGGAAGTGTCTGTCATTTGATTTAATACAACAGCCAGCATAACGATTTGTTTCCTGTATACTAATCTTGTTGTGTTTCTTCTTCTTCTTCTTCTTCTTCTTCTTCTTATTATTATTATTATTATTATTATTATTATTATTACTATTTAGATCCAGCTTTAGAAAAGTGGTCTGGTTTTTTCCTCTTTGACTTAATGTTCTAACAATTTTCCTCCTTTAGGAAATTTGATAATATCTACATTGGCTGGGGTCACAAATACAGTCCAGATAATTACAGCCCTCCATTGCCACCCTATGTGCAGTCAGAATACCCCAGTGGACCAGAAGTCACAGAAACAGTCGATCCAACAGTAGAAGAAGAAATGGCCCTCAAGGCTGCACAAGAAGAGGCCCTGGCAGCTGAGGAAATGGAAGAGGAGGAGGAAGAGGAGGATGAAGATGATGATGATTAGAATACAAAGTGCTAGACTGGTTTTATTTTTTCCCTCAAGAATTTATAAGCTTCTTTACAAATGTGCTGGGTTTAAGCATAGCACAAGAAAGACAGTACTGTGCTTATTCCACCATATTTTCTGATGTGTGTCTTTGTGATATTTTTGTTCTGAATTGGGGGATTGACTATAGGGCTATTTCTTTATTACAAAATGTAATAAACTTCTGCTACATTTTCAGTCTGAATACAATGCCAGTACCTTTCATCAGAGGGACTAAACCTAAAGAGATCTTATGAGAGTTGTCTTGATTTTTTTCTATAGGACAATATAGTTTTTGTTTTAAAATATGCCAGGGAGGCAAGGCTTTAAGGTCACATCCAGAATCCTAGGACTGAGGCCCTTTCTATACTGCCACATAATCCAGATAATTGAAGCAGATAATCTACATCTTTGAACTGGATTATATGAGTCTACACTGCCATATAATTCAGTACAAAGCAGAAATTTTGGATTTTATATGGCAGTGTAGAAAGAGCCTCAGTCCTAGGATTCTGAGAGTGCCTTGGACCTCAAGAATATCAAACCAGTCAATACTCCAGGAAATAATGCCTGGCTGCTCACTGGAGGGAAGGATATTAGAGGTAAAGATAAAGTACTTTGTCCACATCATGAGAAGACAGGAAAGTTTGGATAAAATAATGATGCTGGGGGGAATGGAAGGAAAAAGTAAGAGGGGCCGACCAAAGGCAAGATGGATGGATCCTTGAAGTGAGTGGCTTGACTTTGAAGGAGCTGGGGGTGGCGATGGTCAAATCTGCATTCCTCAAACTGAGGCTTAAAACTAATGCATTTAAAATGGCCAAACACATTGTCTTAGCAGTCCGTATTTTCCTTTGCTACCCTGTATTCTAATAGGGGTTGTAAAACATTTTTATGAACTGCTTGTTTACCTCAAAAATAATCTCTTATCAGTTCCCAACCTGGGGTCTCCCCTTTGTCCCAAACCGTACCTGCCATTTACACTTCAAATAAACTGGTCTATTTTTGTCTAGCCACAATCCTGTTGTGGGTGCCCCAGCTTTTACTCACTCTACTAGCAAAAAACACACACACAAGGTAGAAAGATTAGAAAACAAGAATTGTATTGCAGGTTTTTGAACAAAATTAGAACATACAGCATGATCATTTCACAAAAAGACTGCAGTTCTGGCAAACAAAGGATCCAGTCAGTTTAAATATCCCAGGCATTATTGGGCTAAAACTCTTCTGAGACCCCAAGTAGCTTGAATTGTCAGGAATGTTGGTAGCTGAAGTCCAGAACAGCTGGAGGGCCAAAAGTTGGAACTCAATGGCCATTGAACTTTCTTCTTGGCTTTCTCTCCTCCAACCACTGCAAGTAATCAATCAATATATGCCTTCCCAGTCTGCTTAATAGAATCATAGAATCAAATAGTTGGAAGAGACCTCATGGGCCATCCAGTCCAACCCCCTGCCAAGAAGCAGGAATATTGCATTCAAATCACCCCTATTTATTTATCGCGTCATCAGCAACCAGACATCTGGCCATTCAGCCTCTGTTTAAAAGCATCCAAAGAAGGAGCCTCCACCACACTCCGGGGCAGGGAGTTCCACTGCTGAACGGCTCTCACAGTCAGGAAGTTCTTCCTCATGTTCAGATGGAATCTCCTTTCTTGTACTTGGTTCACTGCTAAGAGGAAATTGTGTTGCGTGAATTCCACAGATTCTTTCATCCAAGCCCTTCAGTACCAAGAATATTAATGTCTCAGATATAAAACAAAATGTGTACAGTTGTGGGCTTGAGATAGAATGTAGCAGGAGCCAGAAAAGATACAAATTGTGTCCTTTGATCTAATTTTCCCAAGCCTGGTTAAAGTGACACAAGTCTTTAAAGAACTCTACAGGCCAATGGATACTCCACCACAGATATCAGCAGAGCTTGAAAGCTGCCAGGCTATTCAATGCTAATCAAGCTGGCCAATTGCAACATTCACACTTGCCTCAAACAGGCAAGAGTTCAAAAAAGCAAAGGGAAAACAATCAGGGAAATCTAATCACCTCTCAACAAAAGATTGCTCCAGGCACTTCCAGGCTATCAAATGCTAATCAATTTGGTCAGTTGAAACATTCACACCTAGCTCCAGCAGACAAGAGTCCTTTGTCCCACCCTGGTGTTTCCACAGATAGATAAACCCATTTTCCTAGTTCCAACAGACCTCACTACCTCTGAGGATACTTGCCATAGATGCAGGCGAAACGTCAGGAGAGAATGTCTCTAGAGTATGGTCATATAGCCCGAAAAAACCTACAACAACCCAGACAAGAGTTCTTACACTCTGGACATTATTCCACAGATATATATATCCCACTTGCCTTGTTTCCAACAGACCACACAAACTCTGAGGATGCCTGCCATAGATGCAGGCAAATGCTTCTGGAATATGACCATACAGCCCAGAAAACTCACAGTAACCCTTTAAAGAACTTTTAAAGTGGTCAATTAGTGTGGATGTGTGAAAGCAATCAATCAGACCCCATCTACACTGCCATATAATCCAGTTTCTGGATCCAGATTTTCTGCTTTGAGTTGGATTACATGAGTCCGTACTGCAATATAATCCAGTTTCTGAATCCAGATTGAACTGGATAGCATGAGTCTGCACTGCCATACTGTACTTCAGAGGTAGAAGGGCGGGGTATAAATATAGGAAATAAATAAATATAATCCAGTTTCTGAATCCAGATTGTCTGTTTTGAGCTGGATTACATGAGTCCACACTACCATAAAATCCAGTTTCTGAATCCAGATTATCTGATTTGAGCTGGATTACATGAGTCCACACTGTCATATAACCCAGTTTCTGAATCCAAATTGAACTGGATTGTATGAGTCCACACTGCATATAATCCAGTTTCTGAATCCAGATTATCTGCTTTGAGCTGGATTACATGAGTCCGCACTGCCATATAATCCAGTTTTTGAATCCAGAGTGTCTGCTTTGAGCTGGATTACATGAGTCCACACTGTGATATAACCCAGTGTCTGAATCCAGGTTGAACTGGATTGTATGAGTCCACACTGCATATAGTCCAGTTTCTGAATCCAGATTGTCTGCTTTGAGCTGGATTACATGAGCCCACACTGCCATATAACCCAGTTTCTGAATCCAGGTTGAACTGAATTGTATGAGTCCACACAGTCATATAATCCAGTTTCTGAATCCACATTGAACTGGATCATATGAGTCCACACTACCATATAATCCAGTTTCTGAATCCAGAGTGTCTGCTTTGAGCTGGATTATATGAGTCTGCACTGCCATATAATCCAGTTTCTGAATCCAGATTGAACTGGATTGCATGGGTCCACACTGTCATATAATCCAGTTTCTGAATCCAAGTTGAATTGGATTGTATGAGTCCACAATGCATATAATCCAGTTTTTGAATCCAGATTATCTGCTTTGAGCTGAATTACATGAGTCCACACTGCCATATAATCCAGTTTCTGAATCCAGATTGTCTGCTTTGAGCTGGATTACATGAGCCCACACTGCTATATAATCCAGTTTCTGAATCCAGGTTGAACTGAATTGTATGAGTCCACACTGTCATATAATCCAGTTTCAGAATCCACATTGAACTGGATCATATGAATCCACACTGCCATATAATCCAGTTTCTGAATCCAGGTTGAACTGGATCATATGAATCCACACTGCCATATAATCCAGTTTCTGAATCCAGGTTGAACTGAATTGTATGAGTCCACACTGTCATATAATCCAGTTTCTGAATCTACATAGAACTGGATCATATCAGTCCACACTGCCATATAATCCAGTTTCTGAATCCAGATTGTCTGCTTTGATCTGGATTACATGAGCCCACACTGCCATATAACCCAGTCTCTGAATCCAGGTTGAACTGGATCGTATGAGTCCACACTGCCATATAATCCAGTCTCTGAATCCAGATTGTCGGTTTTCTTATAAAGTCCCCCATTACGAGATTCTTCAGACCAAGATGTATTCAGACAGTTTCACTTGAGGCCGAGAGAGTGTGACCCAATGGGTTGCCATGGCAGCGCAGCATTGGGAAAAGCTTGTCTCCAATGTGGACTCTTTCATGCGGGAAGCTGGGGGGGGGGAAGACTTCTTTGTGTTTCTCGCTATCCAACAGAGAATACAGGCAATAAAGCTAATGCTAACACTTGGCAATTCTTATGAGAGAGTACGGTAATTTTTCACTCTTTCTCTTTTTTCTCTTTCACACAGTGCAGCCTACGGAATCTTTGGACTCCATTTCCCAGAATTCCTGCGTGTTGGCGTTGCTAGCCGAGCCTTCTGGGAATTGAAGTCCCGAGCCCTGTTAAGCATTTCCCCTTCTCTCAAGACAATGGTACAGTCCATCCAGCGGACCAATGGGAAGAGACCTTGCGAAAATTCAAATACTGGAAGGAAGGGCGGTGTTCAGAGTGGCAGAGAAATGGCTGAAGAGGGAGGCGTCACTGTTTGTGTGCGGGTGAGACCGCTTATTGCCAGGTAAATTTGCATTTCCTTTTAATTAATTAGGTTCTTGTAGGTTTTTTCGGGCTAGGGCCATGTTCTAGAGGCATTTCTCCTGACGTTTCGCCTGCATCTATGGCAAGCATTCTCAGAGGTAGTGAGGTCTGTTGGAATTAGGACAATGGGTTTATATATCTGTGGAATGGCTGGGGTGGGGCAAAGAGCTCTTCTCTGCTGGAGCTAGGTGTGAATGTTTCAGCTGACCACCTTCATTAGCATTTGAAGGCCTGGCTGAGCCTGGGAAAATGTTCTGTTGAGAGGTGTTAAGATGTGCCCGGTTGTTTCCTCTCTGCTGTTTTGCTGTTGTAATTTTAGAGTTTTTTAATACTGGTAGCCAGATTTTGTTCATTTTCATGGTCTCTTCCTTTCTGTTGAAATTGTCCACATACTTGTGGATTTCAATGGCTTCTCTGTGTAGTCTGACATGGTGGTTGTTGGTGTGGTCCAGCATTTCTGTGTTCTCAAATAATATGCTGTGTCCAGGCTGGTTCATCAGGTGCTCTGCTATGGCTGACTTCTCTGGTTGAAGCAGTCTGCAGTGCCTTTCATGTTCCTGGATTCGTGTCTGGGCGCTGCTGCGTTTGGTGGTCCCTATGTAGACTTGTCCACAGCTGCATGGTATACGGTAGACTCCTGCAGAGGTGAGAGGATCCCTCTTGTCCTTTGCTGAACGTAGCATTTGTTGGATTTTCTGGGTCTGTAGATTGTTTGTATGTTGTGTTTCCTCATCAGCTTCCCTATGCGGTCAGTGGTTCCCTTGATGTATGGCAGGAACACTTTTCCTCTGGGTGGATCTTCATCTTTACTCTCGTGGCTTGTTCTTGGTCTTGCAGCTCTTCTGATGTCTGAGGTGGAGTATCCATTGGCCTGGAGAGCCCAGTTGAAATTAATTTTAATTAATTTCTTCCTCACCTTCCTTTTTTTCATTAGGGAAACCTCCCCCAACCCTGAAGACTCTGAGTGTGTCTAGACCAGGTGCCAAACCGGATTAATTCTACAGTTTAGACCAGGTGTGGGCCAATTTGGGCTCTCCAGGTGTTTTGGACTTCAACTCCCACCATTCCTAACAGCCTCAGGCCCCTTCCTTTCCCCCTCAGCCACTTAAGCAGTGCCAAACTGGATTAATTCTACAGTTTAGACCAGGTGTGGGCTAATTTGGGCCCTCCAGGTGTTTTGGACTTCAACTCCCACCATTCCTAACAGCCTCAGGCCCCTTCTTTTCCCCCTGCTGCTTAGGCGGTGCCAAACCGGATTAATTCTACAGTTTAGACCAGGTGTGGGCCTATTTGGGCCCTCCAGGTGTTTTGGACTTCAACTCCCACCATTCCTAACAACCTCAGGCTCCTTTCCGGTTTGGCACTGCTTTAACATGCCTTAGCTCAATGGTAACCATCAAAAATTGTTTATACTACATCAAAGAGTCTTTTGGAGTGGAGGAACCCAGGTTACTGTGAAGCTGAGATGTGATGTTTCCAGAAATACTCAGATAATGAATTAAATAGGAAATTCTGTTTTGTTTCCTAAGGGAAAATGAAGTCCTTGATGACAAAGTGCAACTGGCATGGAAAAGTGAAGAGAGCACTGTGTCTCAAACAGATGGCACCAAGTCTTTTACATTTGGTAAGTTTCTTCTTGTAATCATATAATAATAAACCTTTATTGTAAGGGCAAGGGCCTTTTCGGTGGTGGCCCCCCGACTCTGGAACTCACTTCCCAAGGACATCAGACATGCCCCAATGCTGGCAGTCTTTAGGACGAGCCTGAAAACATGGTTGTTCCAGTGTGCCTTCCCAGAATAAGGAAAACTCTTAGCAATATGTTCTCAAATGCACTTTAACATTGATTTAGGATTGCCTGCGCGCCCTCAACTTTCTTTGAAAACCCTATCCTAGTTATATCCTATCTTGTTCATGCCCAGCATTATTTTTTAAATTTTAAATTATTGCATTTGGCCCAGCCATAGGTTTTTAAATGCTTGTGTGTTGTTATTGTTTATTTTTGTTTATGAGATTTATTTTACTGTTTTGTATCAATTATTTTGTTATTGCCTTCGTTTTATTGATGTACTGTGGGCTTGGCCTCATGTAAGCCGCACCGAGTCCCTTGTGGAGATGGTAGCGGGGTACAAATAAAGTATTATTATTATTACTACTACTACTATAGGAAGTTCCCATTGGTGTGTATAAAATGATAAAAATGCTAATTGTCTTATTGTAAAATCAAAATATTTTTTCTGCATTCTAATCTACAAGTAGCAATGCAACATTGTATCTTGGAGACAAAACGCAATTTCAATGAACTATTTTTTTCTTCTTTCCTTGAAGATCGAGTGTTCCATTCAGAAGACAGTACCGCAGAAGTCTATCAGGGAGTGGCTGCTCCAATTATAAAGTCAGCTGTCCAGGGATACAATGGTATTGCTATTATTATTAGTATTATTTCTATTAGTATTAATTTTATGTCTTACCTTTTCTCAAACCTTGGAATTAGGGCATCATAAAATTAAAATACAATGTAGTTATAGTATGAGTTAATATTTTGCGTGTTGGAACAGGACTCTAGGAAGTGTCGTGATTGGTTACTACAGCTGAGTGTAGATCTGAACTCTAGTGGGGCAAGTCATACTTTCTCAGCCTAAGAAGACAGCAAAGTCCAATGGCTCACCGTCATTCAAAATCTATTTGAAGTCACATGACAACATAAAGTTCAAGCATACCAAAGATCAGTATTAAAATGAAATTAAAATGCTTATTATTGTTGCTCTTTATTCATATCCTGTGGAACTCCCTTCCCAGACCCCTCACTCCTGACGTTTAGGAAACTACTTAAAACATAGCTTTTTAAGCACGCATTTGGGGAGTGAGCTGAAGCAGTCGGAATCGGTGTAATGTCGAATGTCTATGTAGTTTCTGGTTTTAACCTTTTGTATGCTATTTTAATTATTTGTTATATTTTATACTCTGCAAAGCATTCAATGTTCCCATTTACCTTGTTGTGAACCACTTTGAGTCCTCCCAGGGGTTGAGAAAAGCGGTATATAAATGAAATAAATAAATAAAATTTTCTCTCAAAGTGGCTGACATTAAAAGCATTAATTTCAAATATGCATATATTAAAACGGTATGAAACATTATTAGTATTAAAAATAATTCAGATTAAATCTATAAAAAATTAAAACCATTTAAAATCATTTAAAAGAGCAAGTTGAAAATTGTGAAACAAGGAGCCCCCAGTGGTATAGTGAGTTAAACCACTGGGATGCAGAACTTTCTGATTGAAAGGTCAGCGGTTCAAATCCAGGGAGTGAAGTGAGCTCCTGCTGTCAGCCTCAGCTTTTACCAACCTAACAGTTTGAAAACATGCAAATGTGAGTAGACCAATATGCACCACTCCGGTGGGATGGTAACTGCACTCCATGCAGTCATGCCAGCCATGTGATTTAGGAGGTGTCTATGGACAATGCTGGCTCTTTGGCTTAGAATTGGAGATGGGCACCACCCCCCAGAGTCGGACATGACTAGACTTAATGTCAAGGGGAAACCTTTACCTTTTAATGTTGAAACAGTACAACCCCTCTTAAAAGCTGTTAAACATCAGTTAAAGTTTGCATTATTTTCACATTCTCGGTGAGCATCACTCTGAGTTAACTCTTGTGATTCCTCCATAGGAACTATTTTTGCTTATGGCCAAACAGCATCCGGTAAGACCTACACAATTTTGGGTACACCCAATTGTCCTGGCATCCTACCAATGGCAATTAATGATGTCTTCAATACAATCTGCAGAGTAAGTGATTCTACAAAAGTTTGTCTTTCAGTTGCAAAGCTAAATGACGGCAGTGTTGTACTTGCTGTGACGGTTCCTTGCTTGGTTTAAAGCAAGGGTCCACAAACTTTTTAAACAGAGGGCCAGGTAACAGTCCCTCTGTTGGAGGGCCGGATTATAATTTGAAAAGAAAATGAATGATTTCCTAAGCACATTGCACATATCTTATTTGTAGTGCAAAAAAACACTTTAAAACAATACAATAATTAAAACGAAGAACAATTTTAATAAATATAAGCTTATTAGTGTATTTCAATGGGCCTCCTTTTGGCTGATGAAATAGGATTGTTGTTTGCTTTCAGTTCATTTCAGACTTAGGTTGACTCTGAGTGAAGGTCGGGTAAATGACCAAATCTACAATGCATTGGATTGTAGATTTGGAAAGCCAAAGATGCCCTGCCTCTAAGTGAACAAGTATCACTCAGCCTTTCCTTTTAGAAAGAAATCCTGACAGGCTACTGAATTGTGACTTTGTTTTTATAAAGTATGTTATTTATTTATTTATCGTATCATCAGCAACCATACCATTGTATTACATTTCTAACAGAACAAAACAAACAGATAAAAAAGCACAAATTTTGCAAACTTGGTAGTTGATTAAATGTCCTTTGACCAGTATCTGGCCACTTGGAGTGCCTCTGGTGTTGCCGCAAGGAGGTCCTCCATTGTGCATGTAGCAGGGCTCAGGTTGCATTGAAGCAGGTCTGTGGTTTGCTCTTCTCCACACTCGCATGTTGTGGATTCAACTTTGTAGCCCCATTTCTTAAGATTGGCTCTGCATCTCGTGGTGCCAGAGCGCAGTCTGTTCAGCGCCTTCCAAGTCGCCCAGTCTTCTGTGTGCCCAGGGGGGAGTCTCTCATCGTATCACCCACGGATTGAGGTGCTGGGTTTGAGCCTGCCACTTTTGGACTCTCGCTTGCTGAGGTGTTCCAGCGAGTGTCTCTGTAGATCTAAGAAAACTATTTCTTGATTTAAGTCGTTGACGTGCTGGCTGATACCCAAACAGGGGATGAGCTGGAGATGTCTCTTCCTTGGTCCTTTCACTATTGGCTGCTACTTCCCGGCGGATGTCAGGTGGTGCAATACCGGCTAAGCAGTGTAATTTCTCCAGTGGTGTAGGGCGCAGACACCCCGTGATAATGCGGCATGTCTCATTAAGAGCCACATCCACTGTTTTAGCGTGGTGAGATGTGTTCCACACTGGGCATGCATACTCAGCATCAGAGTAGCATAGCACAAGGGCAGATGTCTTCGTTGTGTCTGATTGTGATCCCCAGGTTGTGCCAGTAAGCTTTCGTATGATATTGTTTCTAGCGCCCACTTTTTGCTTGATGTTCAGGCAGTGCTTCTTGTAGGTCAGAGCATGGTCCAGAGTGACTCCCAGGTATTTGGGTGCGCTGCAATGCTCCAGTGGGATTCCTTCCCAGGTGATCCTTAAAGCTCGGGATGCTTCTCTGTTCTTAAGGTGAAAGGCACATGTCTGTGTTTTAGATGGATTATGGATCAGTTGGTTTTCCCTGCAATAGGCAGAATGTTATTGATATTAAGGTTTCATTTGTAAGAAAAATAGCATCTTCAAGCATGCAGGCAGTCCCTGAGTTACAAACATCTGACTTACAAACAACTCAGGGTGAGACAACAGGAAGTGAGAGAAATCTACCCCTTAGAAGGGAAATTAACTCCTTAAAGAGTTATCCTGGGGAAAAGGTGTCTCCACCAAAGCTTTATTACAATCCTTGTTTCCACAAGTCAAATTTTTCAAAATTCAATTATTACAGGGACAAAAAGTGAAGTGAAATCTTCTGAACAGGAGCACAGACAGCAAAACAAACACCACTGTAATGTTGACCTTTCTGTGTGCTATTCGAAGATAGATAGATGAATGAGCCCCCTGGTGGCACAGCAGGTTAAACCGCTGAGCTGCTGAATTTGCTGACCGAAAGGTTGGTGGTTTGAATCCAGAGAGTGAGGTGAGTTCCCGCTATTAGCCCCAGGTTCTGCCAACCTAACAGTTCAAAAACATGCAAATGTGAGTAGATCAATAGGTACTGCTTCTGTGAGAAGGTTATGGGGCTTCATGCAGTCATGCTGGCCACATGACCTTGGAGGTGTTTACAGACAACGCCGATTCTTTGACTTAGAAATGGAGATGAGCACCACCTCCCAGAGCTGGACACAACTAGACTTAATGTCAGGGGAAACCTTTACCTCTAGCTAGCTAGCTAGCTGGGGTTACACTTTAATAATTTACCTGTTCTGACTTACATAGAAATTCAGCTTAAGAACAAAGCTACAGAACCTATCTTGTTCGTAAGTTGAGGACTACTTATATATCTTCTTAATTTTTAGATTCCCAATCGAGAATTCCTACTCCGTATATCATATATGGAGATTCACAATGAAACAGTTCAAGACCTGCTTTGCAGTAACATCAAGAAAAAGAGGCCTTTAGTTGTCCGTGAAGACATCAATGTAAGTAAATTAAGGCTGGAGAATCGCCAGTAGCATAATGTAATATACAAAAATAGTAGTATAATTTGGAGGATAATATATAAGATGTCAAAACTATTGATGGCTATCCATTTTTTAATATTTTCTTGCTTTTTCACTAGTAAATTCTTCTGTTCTCAAAACTGTTAGATCACTGCTGTTAGTTTTATTCTTATATTGCTCATTAAGTCTTAACACAGGGTATTAACACAAATAGTAAATTAATGTAAGAGTGTTCTAAATCTATTTTTAAAAACTCTTGCAGAGGAACATTTTTGTAGAAGACCTGATTGAAGAAGTTGTGATTTCTCCCGAGCAAGTACTGAGCTGGTTACAGAAAGGCGAAAGTAAGACTCAGTACAGTAAAATCTCGCTTATCCAACCTTCGCTTATCCAACGCTCTGTTTTATCAAACGTTATCCAGAGTGGGAGGAAGAAAGACTCCTTGTTTGTTTTGGTGCTAAATTCATAAATACATTAATTACTACATAACATTTCTGTGTATTGAACTGCTTTTTCTGTTGATTTGTTGTAAAATATTATTTTTGGCGCTTAATTTATAAAATCATAACATAATCATAACATAATTGACATTTAATAGGCCTTTCCTTAAGCCCTCCTTATTATCCAACATTTTCACTTATCCAATATTCTGCTGGGCTGTTTATGTTGGATAACCAAGACTTTTGTCTCTTAGTGTGGACATTAGCATGTTTGTCCACCTGACAAGCTGGCAGTATTATTATTATTATTATTATTTTATATTTTGGAAAGGATGATAATTGCCTCAAATTTTTTGGTTCTCTGAACAGAAAACAGACACTACGGGGAGACTAAAATGAATGATAGAAGCAGTCGCTCTCATACAATTTTTAGAATGGTAAGTTATTTTATTACATTTTATTTATTTTATTTCATACTAGCCGTCCCCTGCCACGTGTTGCTGTGGCCCAGTCTGTATATATGTGTTTTGTGTGTATATATGTGTGTATGTGTATATATATATATTTGTGTGTATGTGTATATATGTGGTTTTGTGCATGCGTTATAATGTAATTTTTTAATTTTTTTGGCTTTTTAAGTGTCTTCTGTATTTTTCAGTGTTTTTATGTGTGATAGTCACTTGTTGGCCTGATAGGTTTCTTGTGTCCAAATTTGGTGTCAATTCGTCCAGTGGTTTTTGAGTTTTGTTAATCCCACAAACGAACATTTATATATATTTGTTATCATTATTTTATTGATTGATTGAATTGAACTCCTTCATCCTATCAAAGTATTATTTATCTGGGGTATAACTGGTAACTTGTTATTTTATTTATGTCCTGCCTTTCTTTTAAAGTTTGGGAATAGCTCTCATGTTTGTTTTAACATGTTTGATTACACTGGACAACACACATTTTGGTGACTGTTTCTTGGATATATTTGACCAGCTGATTCCAAACAATGGTACCGGTTTCCCCCTCTCAACTCTTAAGTTTTGAGGTAAACATATGCCATATATCTTCAACTGCTCACCCTTAAAGAACCATGACAAACCATATCAAGGAAACTAGCAGTTTTCTGAATCAGCCCTCCAATTAACCCTAAAAATAGGTCTAAAAACCAAGACACCAAGAAAAGTTGTTGTTGGACTGTGTTATGTGTATCTGCATTCTCTTAACAAAATGTTTAGACATAAAGAAATAAAAGGATCACTTTCCCATAAACTTTGCACAAAACCCAGCATAGAGCAAGTGGGCTTTCTCTTTAACCGTACTCCTCTGCACCATGTTTCCCCTAAAACAGTGTTTCTCAACCTGGGGGTCGGGACCCCTGTGGGGGTCACGAGGGGGGGTCAGAGGGTTTGCCAAACCCCACCAGTATTCAAATTTGGGCATATTGGGTATTTGAAAATACATCCTGCATATCAGATATTTCCATTACGATTCATAACAGTAGTAAAATTACAGTTACGAAGTAGCAATGAAAATGTTATGGTTGGGGGTCACCACAACTTGAGGAACTATACTAAGGGGTCGTGGCATTAGGAAGGTTGAGAACCACTGCCCTAAAATCTTCAGAGCAGATTTTGAAGGTTTTTAGTAGGGTGATAAGTGTATCGGGAGAGAGCCCCCTGGTGGCGCAGCGGGTTAAGACACTGAGATTGCAGACCAAAAGGTCAGCAGTTCGAATCCGGAGAGCAGAGTGAGCTCCTGCAGTTAGGCCCAGCTTCTGCCAACCTAGCAGATCGAAAACATGCAAATGTGAGAAGATCAATAGGTACTTCTTCTGCGGGAAGGCATCGGCACTCCATGCAGTCATGCTGGCCACATGACCTTGGAGGTGTCTACGGACAATGCTGGCCTTTGACTTAGAAATGGATATGAGCATCACCCCACAGAGTTGGACACAACTAGACTTAATGTCACGGGAAACCTGTGCCTTTACTAAGTATATGGAGACCGCTAGATGGTGGACTGTATCCCCTAAAACTTCACATTATCTATGGTAGCTAAGTCTGCTGGGAATTGCAAATAGAGGCTTGCTGAATTCCTGATCCTTGTATATAGACAAAAGGAGATTGACCCACTCCCCTCCGTTCTTAAAGAAGCAGTTCTATTAACAAGAAAATTGGATTGGATACCATCCATTATAGCCAATTGGTATTCACGCATGAAGTTTGGAGACTGGCAAATAGGTTGTTTGTTAAAACCTTTATATCATTGTTTCTCCACCTTCCTAATGCCGCAACCCCTTAATACAGTTCTTCATGTTGTGGTGACCTCAATCATAAAATTATTTTCATTGCTACTTCATAATTGTAATTTTCCTACTGTTATGAATTGCAATGTAAATATCTGATATGCAGGATGTATTTTCATTCACGGGACCAAATTTGGCACAAATACTGATAAGCCCAAATTTGAATATTGGTGGGGCTAGGAGGATTGATTTTGGAATTTGGGAGTTGTAGTTGCTGGGATTTATAGTTCACCTATAAAGGCATTCTGAACTCCACCAACGATGGAATTGAACCAAACTTGGCACACACAACTATAATAATAATAACAATAATAATAATAACAACAACAACACTTTATTTGTACCCCACTACCATCTCCCCAAGGGACTCGGTGGGGCTTACATGAGACCGAGCCCAAATACAACAATACAAGCAAAACAACAACAGTACAAGCAATTAAAATAAAACATAGACAATAAAATATACAACTCCCATGACCAACAGAAAATACTGGGTTTGGTGGGCATTGACCTTGAGTTTTGGAGTTGTAGTTCACCTATATCCAGAGAGCACCGTGGGCTCAAACAATGATGGATCTGGACCAAATTTGGCACGGATACTCAATACGCCCAAAACGCCCACTGATGAAGTTTGGGGAAAAGAGACATTGACATTTGGGAGTTGTAATTGCTGGGATTTATAGTTCACCTACAATCAAAGAGCATTCTGAACCCCACCAATGATAGAATTGGGCCAAACTTAACACACAGAACCCCCATGACCAACAGAAAATACTGTGATGGTCTTTGGTGACTCCTCTGATCCCCCCTCGCACCTCCCCTCTCGGGGTCCTGACCCCCAGGTTGAGAAACGCTGCTTTATATCTTACCCTACCTCCAAATGTTTCAGGATAGGGTACAGATTTTTTTAAAATATACTTTAAAAACAATTTAAAATAATTTGGAAAGCCTTAAAATTGTGATTTTGCAATTGGGGTCTTTCACTGCTGGAAATGAAGAAATCACAAAGTCACTGGTTCTGATTTTGCCGCTTGAATTGAGCTTTGGGGTGGGGTAAATGGTCTTCAAGTGCCTTCAAAAAATGTTGGCACAAGGATAGTATGATCTTGTCAACCTATAGTATGTTGAGAAATTGAAATAATTTCATGACTTGGTTTGCTTTCTCTTGAAGATCATTGAGAGTAAAGAAAAAGATACTGCCAGCTCAAGCTATGAAGGAGCTGTCATGGTCTCCCATTTGGTGAGTCTTTCAATAAAGACATTGGGGTTAAAAGTTGGATTGGACAGAGGAATGGTTTAACATTTCAGAGACCATAAAATGAAATGGGCATTTGTGTACATTCCGTTTTGTGCTTGGATGTATGTCTAATATCTTGATAAATCTTGGAAGGAGAAGTCTATCGTATTACTGATGCATAGGGATGTTTCTACCTGGGTGGGAGGGCAATATTGCCTTGACATCTGTTCTTCATTGATTGTTGGCTGAGCTGGTTGGTTAGGCAGTTTCCCCTTCTTTGCTGCACCTTTTCGTTCAAGAGAATACACCAGTCTTACATTTGTTCTGCAGTTTCTTTCAGCAGAATTTGCTTGAAAGTGACATTTAAATCACCATCTACTTACATAATATAATATAGCTGAAATGCATTTACTGATGATGTTTTTAAACAAGATGAAAATAAACAACCCAACACTCTTCCCTACCTTCCCCCACTTTGTAAGCTAGCCTGTATCTGAAAAATGAAGTCACAGCTTAATAATCAGAAGTGTTGCTCAAATATTTTGTACTAACATTTTGGAATGACAAAATGGGATTTACAACAGGAAAAGGATCTTCCAACAAGTTCATCAAACTCAGTGTCCTCTAGAGATATTTTGGCCATAGCATAAATAATACCAACTTCATTTGGGATGTTACTGAGATTATGAGGGTTGTAGTTTGAGGTAAGCTGTGCTAAGGGTGCTTCTAGATTTTTTTTTTTTTTGCTCTTTTCTGCACTTCAGAAATGGTAGTGATTTCCCAGATTTGAGGGGCAGCACTGCAGAAATTACAGGGCAAATTTGCAGGACAAATCCTGTTTTAAACCTTGGGCCTATGAACTACATTCATTTCACTAGATTCACTAGAGCAGTGGTTCTCAACTTGTGGGTCCTCAGTTGTGTTGGCCTACAACTCCCATAAGTCCCAGCCAGTTTACCAGCTGTTAGGATTTCTGGGAGTTGAAAACCAAAACATCTGAGGACCACCGGTTAAGAAACACTGCGCTAGAACTTCTTCAACTATGGGTCGGGACCCCAAATGAGGTTACCACAACTGTTGGGATCGCCTTCCTTCCTTCCTTTGTTTCCCATGTGTGTCTCTGTTTTCCCTTCTCTCCCCCTGCATGTTTCTCTCTGTTTTCCCTTCTCACTCCTCCTCTCTGCCTTCCTTTCTCGTTCACATGCGCCTCTTCTGCTCTTCCCTCATTCACACATGTCTCTCTTCACAAATCTCTCTCTTTTGCACATGTCTCTCTCCCCTCCCTCTCTTTTTTATATACCCTATTTAACCCAATCTAATGGTCACCATTTTTGGCTAAATTACTTTGCCAAAATTAGGGTGTTCATTAGATCTGTGCCATTAATTATAGACCTCATCCACAATTAATGGCTCGATGTTATGCATTCTGGGACTTGTAAATTTTGGTGAGACATTGTCCTTCTTTGGCAAATTTGTGAGTTAAAAAAGCTTAAGCTTTGCACTAGATGAGCAAATGATACCTGTTCTGTTTCTGAGATTCTCTGGTGCTTTTTTAATCATTGTGAGTCTCCAAATCAATAGGAAAATTTAAAAACAGCTTGAGTAAAATCAGAGTCTAACAACATTTACTTTGACTTTTCAGAATTTAGTGGATCTTGCAGGTAGTGAGAGAGCAAGCCAGACAGGCACTGAAGGTACGTGGCTACTATTTATTTATCATGTCAGGCAACCGAACAGTTGTATTACATTTTTAACAGAACAAACAAACATACGAAAGACACAGAGTTTGCAAGCTTGGTAGTTGAATAAATGTCCTTTGACCAGTATCTGGCCACTTGGAGTGCTTCTGGTGTTGCTGCAAGAAGGTCCTCCATTGTGCATGTAGCAGGGCTCAGGTTGCATTGCAGCAGGTGGTCTGTGGTTTGCTCTTCTCCACACTCGCATGTCGTGGATTCCACTTTGTAGCCCCATTTCTTAAGGTTGGGTCTGCATCTTGTGGTGCCAGAGCGCAGTCTGTTCAGCGCCTTCCAAGTCGCCCAGTTTTCTGTGTGCCCAGGGGGGAGTCTATCAGCCATTGAATGAGGCTCTGGGTTTGAGCCTGCCACTTTTGGACTCTCACTTGCTGAGGTGTTTCAGCGAGTGTCTCTGTAGATCTTAGAAAACTATTTCTTGATTTAAGTCGTTAACGTGCTGGCTGATGCCCAAACAAGGGATGAGCTGGAGATGTCTCTGCCTTGGTCCTTTCACTATTGGCTGCTACTTCAAATTAAAATTTGAAAATGTGGCTACTGTCAAATTAGAATTTTGTTATACCTTGTTTTTTTCACTGTTTTCATCAGTGATCATTACACTCAGATTTAGCCATTCATTAATAGAGATCAAAGTAGCATAGAAGGTATTTTCTTACTGTCCTCATGACAGCTTTGTGAATTCGACAGCACTGAAAAGCGAACAGCCTAAGATCCTTGCAAGAAGGTTCTTGACTTGAATTGAGGGCAGTTGAGTGAGAGGAATGTATATGGACCTATGCTCAGAGACAAATACATTTTTCTTAGCAGGTACAATGTTCCTACTCTTGGCAATGATTTAGTGTTCTTCAAGCCTAAGTGACAAGTGTTTGATAGTATTCTAATCCTTCCATATATATTTCATAATGAGAAAGTCTAGATTGACCCTCCCATCTAATTATTCACAGCTTTCGTTAAGTGTCCTAAGCCATCTTCCTATTGAAGAATAGCAACTAAGGAAGCTACAACCTCACGTTAGCAAGAACTGAGAAGGACAGTATATGGCTAGGGATTCTAGGGGGGTCTCTCATTCATAGGATATATATATATATATGATATGGCTGATCTAGTGGCAGATGACAGAAGCCATCATCTTGGTAGTTTGAAATTGGAATTGGAGTAAGTTAAGCATGATAAGTTGGTACTTGCCAGGACTACTGTGTGCTTCCTTCAGCATCTGATGCATTATGCTTTGAAGGAATGTGAGACATAATGATTTGTACTTCTGTTTTCTTATAGGTCTCTAGTATGCCACTGTGATATTAAAATGCTAAACTTGATAGATCCAGCAGAGTTATTATTGTGTACAGTTAAGCAGATTAATCACCTTGACTCTCACCTTTGAGGAAAAGTGTGGTAAAAGTAAAGGTGTAGAAAAGGGTAGGCTTAGTCTACGTTGCTTTATTTTATCATCATAGAGAAATAAGTCTGGAAATATGTAAGTTGCATTTTAATAGATTTTTTACATATACTTTGTGTTTATATCTAGGGATTCGATTTAAGGAAGGTTGCAATATAAACCGGAGCCTTTTCATCTTGGGTCAAGTCATCAAGAAACTTTGTGATGATCAATCTGGGTAAGACATCTTATGTTAATATGCCCAAACTGTCGGCCAAAGATGGGAACGGCTAGTTCACAATGTTTTAGACTATAACTCTGACAAATGTTTACCAGTGGTGATGCTGGGTGCTTTTGGGGAGAGGGGCAGGATATAAATAAAGGTGGTGGTGGTGGTTGTTGTTTGTATAAAACTTGCATTCCAAAATATTCTCTAGCTTTAACTTAGATGGAATAATTTGCTCTTGGACTACGTTTTTGTTTTGCAAATCAACAAATCTACATTCATCTTATCTCTCTTCAGTAGTGGCTTCATTAACTACAGGGACAGCAAACTGACTCGTATTCTGCAGAGTTCACTGGGTGGAAATGCTAAAACTGTTATCATCTGCACAATTACTCCTGCATCCCTGGAAGAAACTCTTAGCACGCTTCAGGTAAAACAAAAAAGGTTGCTTTTGTTTCCTAAAGACTTCTGAATGTGCATTTTGACTTAGAAAAGTAATAATTGATTTCAAGAATGCCTTTTGATAAACAGCATTGACTTGATTCTTCAATATAATTTGTGGTATCTAAAAAAGCTGTTGTCTTATTTGGCTGGCATTACTGTTTTGTTGCTTTCTGTTCTGGTTTCTGTACTGCAGAAAGTATCTGGATCTTGACCCCTTGTTAACAGCTTGTTTGTTTTAACTTTGGTTGTAAGGTTTGGGTGAGTGAGCTTATTAACAAAAGACCCTCCTCAAATGCACAACAGCGTAACTTAGCAGCAGCAGCAGCATGACCCAGCACCAGTAGCCAAAAGTGATAAAAGAACAAAAACACATAGACCAATGTTATCTCTTCCCTAAGAGGCTTTTCTTTGCAGCAAAATAATATGGTTGCACTATTTACAGGAGCAAGGTTTCCATAACACAAATAAATTTCTTTGTATTTCCTTTGCTTCTATGCTGGGCTTCTTTCTCATGTATATAAACAGCTTCGCTCTCACAGAGCCTCTTCTCACGCTGAACTAACACAGGACGTCATACAGTAGCTTTTATACACACAGCAGCCTTCACACTGAAGCTTCACACACAATGACCTTCAACCTGGGGCTTCTCACACCAGGCCTTCTCATACTGAGGCCTTTCTCCCACTGAGGCCCTCTCATACTGAGGCCCTTCTCCCATAGAGACCTCTTACAGACAAGGCTACTAAGCTATAGGCACACCTGCATGTATTGAACTGCATCTTTTCCTGAGTCATTGCATCCATTTAACCCTTTCAGTGCTTGACTCACATTTTTGTAATTAAAATATTAGGTTAATTTTTAATATTTTTGAGAGGTTTATGAGTATGCTTTATGAGTATGTCAAGTGTGTTTGTCAAGTGATTTGATACGGCCAATGGGCTAATCAATGAAATGATAATGACTTTATTGCCGAAGGCTTTCATGGCCGGAATCACTGGATTGTTGTAGGTTTTTCGGGCTGTATGGCCATGTTCTAGAAGCATTCTCTCCTGACGTTTCGCCTGCATCTATGGCAGGCATTCTCAGGTTGTGAGACTTCACAACCTCTGAGTATGCTTTTCGCAGATGCAGGCAACACGTTAGGAGAGAATGCTTCTAGAACATGGCCACACAGTCCGAAAAACCTACAATAACCCAGACTTTGAGTTTGTTTTGCAGAAAGCAAAAGTATGCAGTCAAATCTAATTTCAAATGCCTAGTGAGTAGACTGTGAAAGTTTTCTTTTAAGGCTGCCAAGCTGCCCCACACTGGGCATCTGTTGAAATGCAGGCCTTAATGCCTAGATTATCCTTTTCCAGTCACAATTCCTATCCCATCCAGAACTAAAGTTCCATTACACACTGTTGGAATTCTCCTCTACTCAAAAGCACATTTCATTCTTTCTATCTTTTTCCAGAGTTGTGTGGGCCAGCAGCAACTCCGTGGCACAAAGATAGAAGTAGAAAGGCATATACTAAGCTGTAGTCTCTGTTTTTAACATACCCGAATTAAAGGCAAAATATTGATGCTTTGTGAATTTGCTCAAGCCTTGCCAATTAGTAAAACCTGACTCAAAAGCTAAATTGTAAGAGAGAACTGAGTGCTACATAATTTATGGGACATCGTTTCCATTTCCCTTTAAAAGCTTTTTTGTGGCTTGAAACGAGAGGGTTGGGGACGGTAATTAAGAGAAGGCGGATTGAATCTTTACTGAAGAAGGATGCAGCGGACCTCATCTTCTTACAGGAAACACATCAAAATAGGCGGGGCTCAAACGAGCTAAAGTCGAGTTGGATAAGGAACTATGAAACATCTTTTGGGTCATCAAAGTCAAGAGGAGTAGCAATAATAATAGCTAAGAAATGTAATTTTGTCATAAACAAGGTATTGAAAGATGAAGAGGGAAGATATATAATATATGGGGAAATAGGGGAGGAAAAATATGTATTAGTAAATGTATACGCACCAAATGTAAAACAGCAAGAATTTTATGAAAAAGTGTTAGAGCAAATAGAGAATTACCATCAACAAAATGTAATATTTGGAGGAGATTGTAATTGCTGTATGGATTTAAAGAAGGATAAAACTACGATAGCATCAAAAGTTAGAAATATTGAAACAACGGAATTAAGTAGAGTAATGAATAAATGGCAATTAAAGGACGTGTGGAGAT